GGAGAGGTTAAAAATTATGCCTGTGGCAGGCACAGATGTTAGATTTTGCATTCACAAACTTTATTTTGTGATTTGTGAGAATTTTAACAGACTATCACTTGGGAGGGTAAACAAACCCATGAGGGGCTTTTTGGAATGGTGAAGCTTCACATGTCCTTTCCAAGAAATCATCTTGAAACCTAACCTTACAGTTTTTTTTTACCTACCAGTATCACCCATAACAACCTCCAAAAACCAAAAAACAAGCTGGCACACACAGGTGGCCCTAGGTCAGCCCAGGCTTTCTACAGCTGAGACTCAAGAGCAGCTGGGTGGAAGCCTGGGAGAGCAGCCCGCTGTGTTTGTGCAGCACTGACCCTGTGCTGCCAAATCCAGACCAAAAAAGCAGCAAATGCAACTGTTGGTGCTCACAAAGAAACTCTGGGGGGTTTCCCTGCAGCACAGGCCAGGGAACAGACACAAAACCTGGGCCTAGAAACAGCATCTCCTAGCATCTGCCCAGCCCTTCTGGGCAGACAGCTGAGCATTCACTGACCTCAAGCCCCTCACCACAGCCCTGTGGCCCCAGTTGCACATCAAGCCTGGCTTGAGCTCCATCCTCTCGTTCCCTGTGACACCCAGACAACATGAAACTTGCAGATGTTTCAAGAGCTGTTCTTATGTAGCAGAGGGGCTGGGCTGAGGTGATGAAGGTGCTGTTGGTAAAACCATGGGAACCCCTGGAATGGCCTCCAGCTGGCCTGACATGCCCCCAAGGAGAGACCCTCTGGATGTACAGCTCTGCAAATCCCACCAGCCATGGACAGCTGGAAGGGAACCACAGAGGAGAAACCAGAGGGAGGTTGTAGCACTTTGCTGAGTGAGTGCACAGCCTTGGGTTGGCCCTGGCTGCTGAGAACAGGGACAAGCAGCACATGCACAAGTGAACCAGCTCTTTGGAGAAGAGGGAAAATCAGCACACGCCTCCAGCTTATCTGCTCAGCAACAACCTCCTTCTCATGAGATTTCTGTTCCATGAGTTGAGGAGAGGAGCACACCCTTGGTGACAAACAGGACTTCAGTGTCTCCAAGTAAGCAGCGTGGAAGCAGATTCTGCAGTGAGAAGAAAAATGCCCGAGAAGACAGGCAGCACAGCCTGGCTTCCCTGCAAGGATGAGATCTCAGCTGGGGGAAGCTGCCAGAGGACACCAGCAGGTAAAGCAGCAGAGAAGCTGGTTTTACTTGGCCACCCTGTGGCCCATCCCCTCCTGCACTGCACACCCAGCCCTGCCCACAGCTGGGAGAACAGAAACCAGGACAGACCCAGCTCCCCACACCCAGCATCTGGAGGCCCTTTCTGTTCCCCACCCTTTGGCCCCAGCACAAGGTCATGCTATAACCAGAAACCTCTGGGATTCCTGCACCCTTTCAGCAGCTTTGCTCTGGAAGTTCCAAGGGTCATTTTTTCATCCTGTCTAACCTGAACCCCCTCAATCAGTGACAGCAGGTGCTGTCCCACCCACCGCTGGCAGCCCCTGCCTTCCCACCACCCATGACCACCCCGTGTTTCCATCCCCTTCCTCCAGGATGAGCTGCCAGATGGGGTGGGAAGCAGGAGGAGGAGGAGGCCCCAGGAACTGATACGGGACAGGGGGTCACTGCAGGTGAGCCCAGGGGGCTGTGCTGGAGCCCCCGGTACTGGAGCCCCGCTCTGCCCGTCCCGGCGCTGCCCGGTCTGTCCGGTGCCCCCGCTGCGGTCCCAGCCTCCCCCCACCCCACCAGCAGGACCTTCACAGAGCCATCCCCTCCAGGGACATTAGCCATGCATAATCAGCTCATCAGCTAATTGGAATCCCATCTCTCTGCTTGGGGGAAGCAGCAAAACCTCAAGACAACAGCTGGTTGTGCATCTCTGCTGACTCCTCAGATGAGGGTTCCCAGGGGATCCATCCCAGGAATCCAAACCCATTAACTTCTGGCTGCCAAGAGCTGCCGAGTGACGATCAGATACACCCTGCAGGAAGAAACCCACCTTCCACCAAATGCAGTGCTCAGCATTGGGAGATTTGCCACCCATGGGACAAGAAAGAGGGGTGTCTCTACCTCCCAGAACATCCTCAGAGGCTTGTGCAGAAAAGACACCCAAAGGAACAACACTCACCTCCTTTCAAATTACTTCATCCTAAGTATTTACAGAGACTTTGTTGCTAAGTTTTACCACTTTATCCTTCCCAAAGTCTTCAGCAAAGTGAAGATGTGACAGAAATGCTACTTGGCAAGAGACTTGGAAAGGAAATTGTTGTTCAAAGCCAAAAAAGTAACCAAGATAAAACTACTGCAGGTAACCAGAACAATCCATGCCTGACAGTCTGATCTACAGTGGCACAATCAAGGTCAGGCTGTTACAGCTGCTTGTACCAACTCATGTGTTAGCCCTGACAAGACACTGCTAAACAAACAGACCTGCCAGCTGCAGGCAGCTCTGAGGAAAGCACGATGAGCTTCACCAGCTGCTGCTTCTCCCCAGACAGCACTTTTCCGGCCAAGTTAAATCCAAGCCAAGCGAACACATGGCAAAGTTCCTGGTAGTCACGCATGTGGCTCAAGGGGTCAAACTCTAGATTTCCCAAACACCTGCAGGATTACCAGCTTCAATATGTCCTCAGGATGTCCACAGCCTTTGTACCAGCAGCTTTCAGTGAGCAGATACCAGCCCCAGGCTCTCCACAGCACCAGCTGCTGAAGAACAGGCAGGCAAGCAAGCAGCTGAGCTCCAGGCTCTGCAAGCATCTTTTCCCCTCACATCCTACCTGATTTGATATTTCCAATAAAAATAAGGTGAGAACACATCCTGTGCTTTGCACAGGAGTCTTGCAATTGCCCTTCAGTGCACACAAGTACAGATAGGCCTTCACATTTTATTGGAATCAAAGCCCTTAACCAGCAATTAAAGGAAACACAAAGTAATACAAGAGTTGCTGTGGAGTAAGAATGCATCAGTTGAGTTGCTTTAGCTTTGCATCCAAAAGCAGTGAAAAATTTTACAACTCACATGAATTCTTCTGTCATGATTTGACAGGGGGGGGAAAATTAAGCCTTGAGTTTAAAGTATCCTAATTTGGCAATGTGAAATTTAGCCTGCAACTCCAAGGTTAATGCTTATCAAGAGGTCACTGCCTTACACTCCTCCACTTTGTCCAGCAAGGCAATTGCACCATATGACCTTCATCAGAAAATATTTACACAGAAAACAAACTATTGTTGAAGCAGTTTAACAACAGATCTTTCCTAAAAATCTGCTAATGCATATCTAGCATTTGAGATCCTACACTCAGTGTAATTTAAATAGCATTTGAAACATTCCAACAGGAATCACATAGCACAGAAGCAGCAATTTGCTTCTCTCATGTTCTTGCACACCTGCTCAGAGCCCAGGTTTCCAGTGCCAAGCCTCTACGTAGGGACCTAATCAATGCTGCAGAACAAAGCTGTTTGGAATGAGGGCATCGTGGTCTCTAGGCTGCAATGACTTAAGGCTTTGGTTGCTTGGCCAGTGAAAGCCAGAGAAGTGCCATCAACCTTCCCCTCCTGGTTTGGAGTACCCAGTTTGCTCCAGTAGACTAAATCCCATTGCAGCTTCAGACCCGACTGGTGAGGAGTCAGTTGCGGATCACCCCAGGTCCTTCTGGAAGGAGGGATGCAAAGAAAGTCTTGAAGAAAACCCACACTGTGCTTATCAGTGAGGAGCTGGTCTGCTGCAGGTCTTGTAAAACCTGCCTCTCCTCAGGAGGGGCCTCAGATTCATCTGCTCTGCCTCCATCTCCTCCCTGCTGAAATGAAAGGCATTTGGTAAGCAAGAATCTCTGCAGAAATGGGTTAGGATCAGGTGCCCAACAGTACATTTTGATGCCCAAATGTCACTGGCAGATAAAACAAGCATGTTAAGTATCCCCAGACAACCACAAAGCTGAAGAACCAAGCTGCTCACTAGTGTTACTGTTTAAGTCATGCAGTGTGTCCCAGAGCACTATCTAGGACAAACAGGAAACACCTGATTAGGTGAGCTATGTACTTAGAACTAATTAACTTCCACTGACATCATCTAGAAGTGCCAGCTTGAAATGCAGGACTCATTGCTCATCTACTCAAACCCTGTCACTGCAGGACTGGTCTGAACTCTGCCTTCAGTTACAGAACCTGCTCAGCCTAAGAGAGGCCACTCCCCCCACCACAGCACCAGAATGGCCAGAAGCATCAGGACAACATTCAGCTTGAGATGTTTTGTAGAACAGAGAAGTTGGCTGCAAAGGAGGAAGGAGGATGGCAAATATTCATAGAATCTTATCACAGAATGCCAGGTTGGAAGGAACCTCCAGAAACATCTGGTCCAACCTTCCTATACAGTATAAATGAGGTGGCCCAGCACCCTGTCCAGCCAAGTCCAAAAACTGCCCAATGTGGGGGATTCCACCCTTGGGAGATTATTCCCCATGTCTAACTGTTCTCATGGTGAGAAATTTTCTCCTGGAGTCCAATCAGACTCTCCCCAAGAGAGACTTCTGCCCATTACACCTTGTCTTTTCCATGTGACTCCATGTAAAAAGGGAGTCTCCATCTTCTTGGCAGTCACACATTATGGGCTCCTACATGGTGAGAAGATCTCCCCTGAGCCTTCTTTTCTCAAAACCTCACTGAATGAAGTTTTTGCTCCTACATTTTATTGGTAAACTGGAAGTAAAACTTCACAGGGTTTCATGCTAGTAGTTTAAAAAAAAACAACTAAGACAGTACCTGCAAGTTATTGTTCTGGTCCTGGTTCACAGCAGCTTGAGGAGGAACATTGCCTGGGAAGGGCTGAGCTGCTCTCTGCCTGAAGGGAAACCATCCAACGTGGTGCCTGGGAAAGCCAGAGCTGTATCAACAGAGGTTTAACATGACTCCTTCCTGCTGCACCAACACTGTTCCACTGACACCTGACTGCTCAGAGGTGCAGACAGCAAGCCCAGCACATTAAGGTCACCCCTGCCCTGCCCCAGAAAGTCCTTTCAAGGCCACCTGCTAGAACCAAACCATGAGGGAGGAAGCGAAGACTCAGCATCTGCTTGCTCTCAAAGTGAGCAGCACTACATCCAGGTTTGTGAGGTGAGCAGGGCTCAGCCTGCTGGAGTGTGCTGCTGGGAGGTGCACAGAGCCTACCTGCTCACCAGGGGATGCACACCCCTGGGAACTCTGTCCTTGCTCTAAAAAAAGGGCACAAAACATGTAAAGCCCAGCTCAATCTTACCAAAACATAATGGGCCACAGAGACCTTCTGCAGCCTCTACAGCACCTGCACCTTGAAACCCTCAGTATAAACTGTTCAGCTACATTTCAGAATGATTGGGATTAAGATGTAAGGACTTTTAATGAAGCAATTAAGTCTTCACTCCCCAGGTTTGCATGAGAAGGCTGAAAAGCCTTATCAGTTCTTCCACCCCAGGCTGGAAGAGCTGATCACTTGAGCTACTCTGCTGTCAACTCCTAGACCTACCAACAGGAATTCAGAGGTCCACACCCCTGGTGATCAAACAGTGGAGGGGACAGATGATCCTTTTCCAACAAGACAGCCAAGCATGTCAACTGAGGGGCCACTATCTTTCTGTTCTTCAGATTTATCCCAAGTTTTCCCCTGCTGGATAGGCTCAAAGGCAACTCACATAATCACAGATTATTAGGGGTTGGAAAGGACCTCCAAAGATCTTCAAGTTCAACCCCCCTGCCAGAGCAGGACCAAAAAAAAAAAAACCAAACACCAACAAAAAAGCCCAACAACTAGGGCAGATCACTCAGAAAGGCATCCAGACAGGTCTGGAAAGTCTCCAGAGAAGGAGACTCCACTGCCTCTTCTGGGCAGCCTGTCCCAGGGCTCTGTCACCCTCACAGGAAAGAAGTTCTTCCTCATGCTGAGGTGGAACTTCCTGGGCTCAAGGTTGAATCCATTGCCCCTTGTCCTGTCCCAGGGCACAAGTGACAAGAGGTTGTCCCTGCCTTCTTGATGCCCTCATGCATTGACATTCATTAGAGCCCCCCTAAATCTTCTCCTCTTCAGACTGAAAAGCCCCAGCTCTCTCATCCTCTCCTCATCAGGCAGGTGTTCCAGTCCCTTTGTCATCCTCATGTACTCCACTGGACTCTCTCCAGTAGATCTGTTTCTGTGGAACTGGGGAGCCCAGAACTGCACACAATACTGCAAGTGAGGTCTCAGTTTAGTTTTGCCTGCTCTCCAGAGGCACACCACAGCAGAAAAATCCACAGGTAGATAGCTCAGCAAGCATGAGACTCTCCCTCCCAGACTGCAAACACTTTTTTACCCTAAAGCTCAAATTCCTACACTGAACCTACAAGTCTGCCCTACACTGCTGCACTGCTGGGGCTTTGCACCAAAAGCTGCTTGGGTCTAAAGAAATTTTCTAAAAAGAAAGCCAACCAGACCAGAAGCATCAGTACAAATGCCAGGAAAGATCACAGAACAGTTTGTGTTGGAAGGAACCTTAAAGCTCATCCAGTCCCAACCCCCCTGCATGGGCAGGGACACCTCCCACCAGACCAGGTTGCTCCAAGCCCCATCCAACCTGCCCTTCAACACTGCCAGGGATGAGGCAGCCACAGCTTCTCTGGGCAACCTGTTCCAGTGTCTCACCACCCTCAAAGATGCCCCACTACTACCCATTCTTCATTTAATTTTGACATAAGCTATACTGGTATTTTTGTTAAACAGTTATACCAGGGTGAAGAAGTGGTTCACTCTCTCCAGGTGCAAGAGCCATATGAAGGTAACTAGTCACAGGACAGAGCTCAGCACTTCCACGTAACATCTCAGAAGACAAGGGTAAAGGTTCACACTCTGCACTTACAGATACATCAGCACAGTGCCACCCAGGACCAGGAGGAATCTGCTGACACTGGAGTAGAAATAGATGATGTTGACAAAAACATAGAAGAGTGTTGCTGAGTAGAGCCAGTCCAGCCAGTCTCGATTGGCACCCTCCTCCTCTTCCTCCATGAGGGGACCCCCTTGGGCATTCACCCTCAGGTTGGGGTTGACCACAGCATTAACCTGGGCAGCAGCATTCTGGTTCCCAGGCTGGTTTTGTGCAGGAAAAGGGTCTGGGAGAGGAGCTGGGGCTGTCACTGGTATCTCCTGAGAATGCTGTGCAGGGGCTGGGTCAGCAGATGGAACAGTAGAAGCCAAGCTGGAACCAGAGATCATAAGAGTAAAGGTTACTCAAATCCTTTCACACTTGGAAGACACAAAAGATTTGTCCACTTTAAGCATAGTCAGATGATACACAAGTAGGAAGCATCACATTTAGAGGCTACAGGAGGGTTAAAAACAAGTTCTACCCATGACAGCTGCTCAGCAACAACTGTTGCTGCTTGCAACAGCAAGTCAAACCAAGCACCTCCCACTTGACAAACATGTAATTTCAATACTTTGCAAGAAAATCTTTAGAACAAGCCAAGGTAGCCTGGAAGGCTGCTGAGAGTCCCAGCTTCACCTGTCACTGATTTCCAGTGCTACTTCAAGCAGTCAAACCATGGTGAAGAGTGAAGGCTCAGCATTTACTCTACAGACACCTGCCCTCCCAAAAGAGTTAGATCTGTAATGCGCAAGACTGGCAATCACTGGCCTGAACAGCAGGCCAAACACCACCCATCACTGAGAGGAACCTTCCCACACCACATCCTGAGTTGCAACAAAAACCTCTTCCCAACATCCTACATCAGAAGAGGAAGAACTGCCAGAAACTGTTTCCTTGTACTCCAGTTTCTGCTGGTAACTCTGGACAGAAAACTTACTACTGCATGTAATACTGTCTTGCATAGAGCTGCTGCAGCCAGGACATCTGAAGCATGCTGTAGGTCGTGTAAGCAGAGAGGCCAGGAGTGACACACTGGAAGGGATGTCGAGTTGGTTCAAGCCTTGATCAAAATGTAAACATTTGTTAGCAAATATTGGACAAACTACAAGTGTAATTTCTTACAAGACAATGTAAATAGCTACTCTGCCATTTTATGCATCCAAATGCAGAATTCTTCCTTATTAAGTATGAAAGGCATCTCTTTATCCACATGAATAAAGGGGAGATTTTCAACTATGAGAGCAGGGCATTTAGCTTCTCTCTTTAGCTTCTTTCATGCTGAGCCTTTGATGTATCTCCTCACCTTTGACCCATGTCCCATGGACTCAGGACACGTGGCATAAGGGGCTGTACCCAACACAAAGTCAATGTTTACCAAGCCTTAGTGATGTAAATAAAAAATGGTATTTACCTGTTACTGGCTTCTGCTGAAGATTGGCCACTTCCACCATCTGAGGAAGATGGTTCTGAACCAGCTTCTGACAGTAGCTTTGGCTGAGCAGCTTTCACCTAGGGACAGCAAGGCAGCTCCTGAGCTGTGCTCCACACACTCACCAGCCTTAAGCAAAAAGGCTGCACCACCCTGGATGTGCTTTTGTCTCATAACTGGTACACAGCTCCCACACTTTGTCCTGCACTGTGCTGAAACCACTCCTGGGCACCACACAAGCCCTTCCAGCAGGATTTTAAAGCTCCTTCAAAAATGACTGGCATGGAAGACTCACTGTTACTCTTCACCTTCACTAGATCTACACCTGTACTTGCTTTTGGTTTGTTTTTTTTTACACATGCAGAGAGGTCCCATGTGGTTAAAAATGTAATTGGAAAAAACAGAAGGAACTGCATTCCAGACAGTTTGACTTTTTAGCTCTACACAAACTGCTGCACACAATTCAAGAGCAGTTTTGTGGCAACACATCTGTAGTATCCAGACCAAAGCTGGCTCGCATGCAGCAAACACCAGACATGGACAGGATAAGCTCAAATTGTCTGTAACAGGCAATATAAACACACCCAGACACATTAGCACATCCCACTTGAAAGTGAAAGTTGGTTTTGGCCATTTGCACTGCAGACCAGTCAGCACCCAGCTCCAGCTTCCTCTCCACAGGCTGAGTCATTAATGAGCAGTTAAAATGTCTTCAGCCAACAGGCTCTTTCCTTCCCCATCCCCAGCCACCTCTACTTCCCCTGCCCACAAGCACAGCCTCTGTCCAAAGGAGCCTGGGACACAGGTCATATTCTAGTTAACACTGAACCTACAGAAAGCATTTCTCCTGAGTAGTGTGTTACAAGATTATAGTTTTGCTATTTCTGAACAGATGCCATGAGAATCTTTACCAACGAGCCACAGAGTCAATTACTTACTCAGCTTAACCCAAATACATTTATTTCCATATTCTAGGAACCTATTCCTAACCACATGATTACAAAGTAGCAATGCCATAGCACTAGTAAGAAAAAGCTGCACTACCAGTGAATATTAAAATAGCCATCAGGTACTTCCCATTTTTTTCCCATTTTCAGTCAATCTTAAAAATCACAGCTAAGTATGAGTACCTCTGCATGGGTTTCTTGCACATTTGTAGGAGTCTTGAAGCTGTACACCAAATGAAGAGCATGGAACTCCCCCTGCTAAAACATGAGAAAACATGTTTAAAAACCCCAGTTTTCTTAATACATTTCAGCACATCATAATTTATTTTTTTTAATACCTTTGGCAGCAGCTCTCTCAGGTATTGATGATCAAGTAACAGCTTCCCACAGTATATCAGCTTCTGGTTCTCTTCAGGCTTTGAAGAAGAAACAGAGGAGGATGAGTTGCTCAGCAAACACCAACTGGTACAACCTGCAGCCAGGTGGACAGAGGCAAACAGCTGGAAGCACCTGCACCCTAAGGTGCATGGGGGGTGCACACGCCTAAACTTGGCTAACAAGGTGACAACAACTGGTTTCGAGATGAACATTGAAGCCTAAAAACAGCAGGAGGACAAAGAACACGTGCTGTCTGTTTTGCAATCCCGACAAAAGAGGGTGCCAACCTGTCACACCTGACTGTGCTCACCCAGAGCCCCCCCGGGCAGCACAGGAGGGGTGAGAACAGACTGCGCCTGTTTCTGGGCCACCGCCCGGCTCCGAGGGGAAAAACCAAGCTCTCCTGACGAGCCCGGGCCGGGCGTGCG